CAAAGCTTTAGCCCATACAAAACACCCATAAAAAAATCATGTGACTATCCTCAACAAAAGCTGGCCCAGTAAAGATAGAAATGTATAAACCAAGATGAGCGTTATACCGATATCCATCGCACAAACATATAACACAAAATTTTTTAGGTGGAAAACCCTGGAAAGGAGAAAAATCACGGGGCCACACCCAGTTGAAATGATTCAACTAGTGTTTGAGTATATTACAGTTGACTGAATCGTTTACGAGGACAATCATATTACAATAATCAACCGTTTGGTTAAAATCTAGTGATAGACAGAGGTCAGGTGAAGGTCCGATGATGCTCGCTCAGGTGGAAGTTTGGACTCCATTAATGGTTTGACATATGTCCAGGCATTAGTCGGTGCTCTGATGGAAGTCCGGTGTCAGTTGGTGGTCAGGTGAAAGTCTAGGCGGTGGTCAAGAATGAGCTTGGTGGCAAAAGAGATCTTAGATTTCTCTTCATTGCTTCCTTCTCCTCCCTCCAATGAGAAAGGAGGTCTATTTATAAATTGTTGAGCGGGAGCCCAGATTAATTACTGGGTTAACAAACCTAGACCTAGGTCTAATTCTGGTTGATTCCAGGTTTCTAGGTCAACACGAACCCAACTCGTTTTTACAAACGGGTCAAAAATCTGAACCTGAAACCAACCCGTTTGCTAACCGGGTTGACTCGAATTCGGATTTTTCCAGGTCGGGTCCGAGTAAGATTTCAGGTTGTGTCAAAAATTGATACCCCTAGTTGGGAGGTGGAGAGGAAGAGATGAGATTGTTCCATGAAGCATTGGGGACTGGAGTATAGATTTGAAGCAGCTGTAGGTTACTGTTTGTTTCCCTTCTTAACCGAACTGCACCCAAAAGACTGCCCAAATTGGTGACAGCGGCCGTCATAGTTTCGTATTCTTCAACAATTTGAGAAGGGAAACAGTGGGATGGGCTTAACGTATTATTAATTTAAGGCTTTGAGCTTTTCTCCTTGGGCTTGAGGCCCATAATAGTCATGAGACCGAGAACTCCAATATGGACCTCTTTTATGAAACAACAATATGCGCTTATAAGCATATTTGTTTATAAGTTATCACATATATCAAATGATTAAATAATCTGTAATTTTTTTTTTGCTTTTTTTTTTCTACTTTTTAAAACAACCATTTAATTTAGAGAACCTAATTGATCACTTTTTATATTTTTAATTTTTAAATCAAATTAGTCTGTCTATAAAAAATTTTGAAAACATCATATGAAATATTTCACCAAGTTTTCAAAATACCTATTATGAAAATAATAATCAAATATATTTCTATTTTAAATTAACAAATAAAATATAATATAATCAAATTATGAAATCAATAAATAAAAAAATAAAAATGATATTAATTATATATTTAATTTAAAAATATAATATCTATCAGTAAAGCAATGCGAGATTAACAATTAATAATTTGGAAACAGTAATTAGTCTTAATTAGATACCAATTAACTGGCCAGTGGGGGCCCGTGCCCCCATGGCCCCCATGCTAAATCCGCCCATGAAAAGAACCATTCAAATGAAGCCTAGAGCTCAATTTCAGCTAAACTCTATAAGAGAACTAATAAAAAAAAAAACTTTAATAATTTTAAAACTTGGGTTATGTTCAAACTTGATAAGAAAATAAATGAATGAGCATAAAAAATATAATATTTTGCTAGACTTAGCTCATTACAATTCTACTGATTAACCATTTTGATGAGATTTGTTAGGTTGATGTTGGCCAATTGAAAATGAAAGTTGGACTATACACTAAGTACCAGCCTCAATTTCAACAATTACAGTTAAAATTATGGAAAAAGTCCAACATCTTTTGCAATTATATTATCAACCTCTATGATGCAAGATTAATGCTTTGATTAATGGGACCATTTTTTTACAGTTTTTTAAAGCAGTGCTTTATTATAAATTTTTTTTGAACAAAAAATTTTTATTCTTTTAAAAAAGTACTAAGAAAGTTATCCCAAAAGAAGCCTAGATATGCTACTTTCAAATACTTTGAATGAAAAAGTTTTTTCGCGTGCAAGAACAAATATTTTGAGTTTATTTTAGTAATAGTCAATAACATATTTATCTTACAAACATTTAAAGCTCTTGTTCATAATATAGTGTGCTTTATGATGTTTGATTTAGGTTTTATTTGGGATGATTTTTTTACTACTTTTGAAAACAACATTTTAATAAAAAAATAAAAAAATTTGTATTAAAAAGCTGCTTAAAAAGCAGCAAGAAAGCAGCTTCAAACAAATCCTTAAACTTCATTTGGAATAACTTTTTTATTGCTTTGCTTTTAATACCGAAGCCACTCTTTCCAGTTTCCACTCAACTCATACTTTTTCACCGTTTTCAAAAAAATTTTGTGCTAGGAAACTATTTTTTACAACAACTTAAAAAATATTAATTTCTCTGCAACAACTTTTATAATAGTCCCAAATGGATCTTTATTAATTTATAGATATCTCATTTTAGCTTTTGTACACCAAATGATCAAAATTATGTTCTCAAAACAAGTAATAAATTCTTTATAAAATATGTAAAATTTTATTTTATTATTGAAAAAATTGTCAAACCAATTATAAATTTATTTGTACAAATATACCACATCAAACGATAATCAATATCATTAAACCAATACAAATTTTTAATTAAGATATTTTTTTATCAAAATTTCGATACTGCATAGTCATTAATTTTTTTAAAATAAATCAAATACAAATTTTAATACAGTCTTCTTATAGTTAATTTAGCAAATTCGAAACTTAGCATAGTCAAAATATAATCAGATATTTGTCCCAATTTATTTTAAAAAAAAATTGGGAAAAAATAGATTCTAATTTGACAAGTTTGTTGTGATTGGACAGGTTCATTCGGCCGCCGGCCTGACTTGGTTTTTTCGGCCGGGAGGTTATGACGGGTTGGGGCCCACTAAGATCATCTTGTAGGCCCTACATTAACCATACAATAGCGATCCAACGGTCCACATATCTCGCATAGGATGACACGTGTGATTGCAGCAAAGCCTGGGTCTTTGCCGTTGCTTTCAAGGGCTGAAAAAACCCTCAATAAAAAGAGCCATAAATAAAAGGCCTTTAAATATTATAATATCCATTAATAATTATTATTATGTCTTCTTTACGCTTCCTCTATAGCGACGGGCAATACTGATGGACCCCACTAGCACGTCATTATCAACTATAATTAAGATTACAAATCTATTAAGTAAGTGATTACCTAATCATGGCTAAGGGTTTATTTGATATTTTTGTTTTGCACTATTTTGCTTTTGAGTTTTGACTGCGACCACACATCATTTAGCCAATAATTATTCGTTAAATTTAAAAAGGTTTGATGATAGAAATTTAATTTTCATAACTAAGGCTCTCTTTAAGAAAGTTTTATTATCTAAATCTACTTTTATTTTTTTATTTTGTTGAAATAGGCCAAAAAGTATTGACAAAAAAATTTATCTTAAATGAAAGAAATTATTATATGCAGAATTCAGACATACTGTACGTAGTGTGTCCACACTGTGTACATCAAAGTCTGGCTGGCCTTAACTCTACGTTCGGAGTCCACACATAATAATTTCTTTTCAAATAAAGCCTAAGAATATATTTGGGACCATTGTAACGTTTTATAAATTTGATTAAAACATTATTGTGGGAAAATTACTTAGGTATTATGGTTTCAAAAAACAACTTGCCACCACCAATTTCTAAAAATAGGAGCCAAATGATATTATAGTTATTGTTTGAAAAATTAAGCAACTAAAAAGTTGTTCCAAAGAGATCATAAATATTTTAAAAAGGGATAATTAAACGAAAAAAAAAATTGTATAATAAAAAAAGAAAAAATATTTAAAATATTCAGAATTATTTTTTGATAACTTTTTTAAAATACTTTACATAAAGTTATAATTAGATAATTCAATGGGTTCCAATGACCATTAAGCTGTGGAAAATTTTTTGCTTGACAAAGACGAGCAGTGGACCACCATTACTCTTTAAGCTATGGTCTTAATTATTTCTCATTGAATAATCAAAAGTTTCATAGAAGGATTCTTTTTTAATTTGGATCTTAATTAATTATCATCTTTAAATTAAATGCTTTTTTTCCTTTTTGGTATTATTAAGTTCGAAGCATATATAATTTTTGAAAAATTATCATTTGTTTATGAATTATATCTTAAATATGAATAATTTTAATTGTATTAAAAGGTAATTAAGATTTTATTTTATTGTAGAGTGATTGAGATACTTAGAAAGTAAAAATATATTACTTTTTAATGATACTTTAGAAATTAAAAAATAATTTTCATGGATAAAAATTTTATTTCAGTAATGCATAATAATTTAAAGAGAAGCATAATCCTGAGTTAAGTGTTGCACAGATGACGATGCTCAGGTGCATGAGTGACTTTACCCTCAGAGATATGATACGAAATGAGCATATACGTACGTGAAAAGGTTGGAGTAGCTCCAGTGGAAGATAAGATTAGAGATAGTCGTCTTAGATGGTTTGGTCACATAAAATGACGGCGTTATGATGACCCGGTTAGGAAAGTAGAGATATTAGATTTGACTTATGTTAAGAAAGTAAAATGTAGAACTAAAAAGACTTGATTATAAAATATTAGAAATGATTTTTTTTTTGGTTAGACTTAAATGAGAATTTGACTTTTAACATAACAGAATAAAGAAAAAGGATTCATGTAGCCGACCCCCGTAGTGGGGCAAATGCTTGATATTATTTTTTATTTTTTTAGTAATGTATAATAATTTATTGGTTCACGTACTTAAAAATATCATACAAAATAAAACAATTGATAAAAAAATTTAAAAAAATATTAAATGGAACTTCGTAAATATCTGAACATAAACAAATGAAATAAAATTAATAAAAAATAATGTATTCATATTGTATTTAAACATTTCAACATGATCAATCTTTCTATTGACCTTAAACAAAAAAGGCCATTAATTAATTCATGTACAGTGTATCGATCTAAACAATAATCAATCAACCTATTATCATCTCTTAATCACATCATTATCAACTTAATCAATCTCTATCCCCAACTACTAACTATTAACCAAAAAAAAAACCCCATTATCCTCAGCTCACCAAAAAATAAAAGAAAAAAATAAACAGAATCCAATTATAACACTTCTGATCAACTCACCGAGTCCACCATCAGCTCTTCCTCCTCTTCTCAAACCATCAGAAGTCTCAGCCTCTAAAAGAGAGCTCAAAGTGAAATTTGGATTCGAACCATACAGAGCTTGAACTCCTTCAATGTCATCCACTCGCAAATTCACCTTCTTCGTCCTCGGGCTTAGACTCGGATACATGACCGCCTCCTGCACCGTCGAATGCGCTAAGCCGAGGACATGTCCAATCTCATGAGTCAGCACTGATTCCAAGTCAACGGCAACCTTTGACTCCTCCTTGCTGAAGTCGACGGCCCACCTTTCCGCCGCATCGAGGTGGAGCCGGCCATTCTCGGGGGAGAAGGCGTGGGCGAGCACGCCGAGGACGCCGTCGAATGGTTGCCCGTCGCCGTGATCGCCGGCGTAGAAAGCGACCTTGACGTCGGCGGTTTGGAAGTCTTTGGAGTGGGAGAAGGTCATTGGGATGACCTTCGCCCATCGAGCGAACGATCGGCGCACGGCGGCGTCGATTGCGGGGCGGTTGACGTAGTCTATGGTGTTCGTGGGGGAGAGGGAGTAGGTGAGGTGGAGAGGGGAAGGGCGAGACCATCGAGGCTGGCCGGGGAAGTATGCGAATCGGCGAACGGATTTTAACGGGGGTTCGTCGTCGGGTAGGCCGCAGCCGGAAGAGGAGGAGATGGAGGCCGTGGAAGGTGGGAGGAGGAGGAGGAGGAGGAGGAGGGAGAGGTGAAGTAGAAGGGAGTTGTAAGGCATGGTTCTTATTGGGGAAGTCTTGTGAAGGAGTTCATAAATTTATTGCTAATATTGACAGGAGGAAACCATATATATACTATTTAAATATGTATATAATATGAGTATGTTTGTGGGAGAGGGAGGGAGTTTTCTCTGACTTGAAGATGATGGAAAATTTGGTGACCAAATTATGTAACGGTTGGAAGGATGATTTCTGATGCTTCTATGATTGGTGAGTTCTTTGGTTTTATTTTATTTTGTGGGGAGGGGAATTAGGGGCAGCGCTCAAATATATAAACACAATGTATACGTAAGACTCGATTTGTTCTTTATTTTTCGTCAAGGTTTTTTTATGGGCAAGTGAAGAGATTCTTATTGGTGGGTTTCAGATTCAGATATCGATCCCAAGACAAGGAAAGTAGCTAGGTTCCAGTGTCAGGAAATTTGGAGAAATTATTACATGCGGAATTTGAACGTAGAGCTACGTCCGTATTTTCTTGTATAAACACCATGTAGATAGTGTGTACACATTTATACATTCCAAGGTCATGAACTTTGGAGAAATTATTACGTGCGGAGTCCGAACGTAGAGCTAAGTCAGGACTCTCTTGTGTAAATAATGTGTACACATATTTGTACATTCCAAAGTTAGAAATTTTGGAGAAATTATTATGCGCGGAATTCGAATTTAGAGCTACGTCCGGACTCCATTTTATACACACTATGTATAAATATATATAGTGTACAAAGGAATCCAGATATAGCCATACATTTGCACGTAATAATCTCTTGAAATTTTGGCCCTTGAGAGAGCAAACTCAAGTCGTTGTGGGGAGGGGAATTAGGGGTAGCGCTCAAATATATAAACACAATGTATACGTAAGACTCGATTTGTTCTTTATTTTTCGTCGAGGTTTTTTTTAAGGGCAAGTGAAGAGGTTCTTATTGGTGGGTTTCAGATTCAGATATCGATCCCAAGACAAGGAAAGTAGATAGGTTCCAGTGTCAGGAAATTTGGAGAAATTATTACATGCGGAATTTGAACGTAGAGCTACGTCCGTACTTTCTTGTATAAACACCGTGTAGATAGTGTGGACACATATTTATACATTCCAAGGTCATGAACTTTGGAGAAATTATTACGTGTGGAGTCCGAACGTAGAGCCAAGTCAGGACTCTCTTGTATAAACACTGTGTACACATATTTGTACATTCCAAGGTTAGAAATTTTGGAGAAATTATTATGTGCGGAATTTGAATTTAGAGCTACGTCAAGACTCCATTTTATACACACTATGTATAAATATATATAGTGTACAAAGGAATCCAGATATAGCCATACATTTGCACGTAATAATCTCTTGAAATTTTGGCCCTTGAGAGAGCAAACTCAAGTCGTCCAAGTTTCTCCAGTTGATTAGTCGTTTATGACTACAATTGTTCGTGGGACCTTTGCTCTTTTTTCGGTGGAAAAGAAAAAAAGGCAATTAAAATATAATAAAGGTAACATTTAGTCTGATTAAATAAATAAATAAAATTTATATTTCAACTTATTAGAAGTCATTATTTGGTTGAATTTAATTAGAGATTAACTTCAGTTTTAAACTAAAAAAGTTTGAAAAAGTTTTTTATTTTGATAACTTTTTTTTTTTATAAAAAATTTATTGATTATACAATCAAAATTTAAATTATATTATTGAAATAATTTCATAAAATTTAAGTCAAAATATCAACTCAATAATTTTAAACTTTTATACATAAAACTCAATAAATATCTTTAGAACTTTATAATTTATAAATATATTCAAAATTTAATTATTTTTTTATTAATAAAATGAATAAGAAAATTCTTATTTAAAAAAGACATTTTCTATTTAATAAAGTATTTATGTAAACTTTTTTTTTTTTTTTAAGAAATGAGTACACCTTTATTGCCGCCACACGTGCTTCTCACGTGATTGTGGCTTCAAACGACATAGACACGTGTCAATGTTTAGATCCATTCTATTGGGATGGTGATGCGATGACACTTTGTCTGGAGGATAACCGAACATTTAACTAACGAAGATTAAGTTGGGAAAATTGGACTGTTGGGGACGAGGAGTAAACACCACAATAAGGAAACAAACAAGAAAGTAAAAGCATCAGAAAGTAAAAGACAACAGGATTTAGCGTGAAAAAAATCAAATTAGAGAAAAAACTATGAAGCTACATCATATCAAGAAATTCACTATGAAAATTAAAAAAATATAAGTATATATCTCACTTTCTCCTTCTCTTCTCACATACACCGTTCTCGCTCTTATCCTAATTAAAAAACGCAAGAGAAAAGTCAGTTATATCCACCCAGGGATGCAACCCTTGAGAAAAAACGAGAAGGATAGCTGTTAAGTCCGTCTCTCAATGTTGTGGCACTAAAGTTTCTATCTTGCATTGCTGCGGTGCTCTGCTCTCTATTGGGTACACAACACTAGACCCAAGCAGGGGGTAACCCCACCCCCCGAAAACACGACAAACTTTGAGGTTCGAGACAATGGAATAACCAAATTGAACAAAACAATCAAATTTCACACATAACAAATACAATGGTTTATTTTATGGTGGAAGTGTAAGTTGTTATAAAAACTATTCTCCCATGCAAACAAAAAAAAATAATAATAATAAATGTGGATGGGGATTAGGGATATGAAAAATAATAATAAAGTGTTATATTAAAAAATATTACTTTATATCTATTAATAAACAAGTAAAAGGAAAATGAGTGCAAGAATTATTTTTAAATTTGAGTTAGGTAGTTAAAAAAGTGTTTCAAAATACATAATACTTTATTTTAGATTATTTTTTATTAGATTATACCTAGGCTAATAATATTAAATGAATCTAATAATTAGATAGTGATATATTTATTTTAATTAAATTTATATTATTATTGATTAATGAAAGATAAGATAAAAAAAAAGATTGGATGATTTAGACATCTATAAATTATAATGTGATAAAACAAATGCATTTATAAAAGGAGTTGGTAAATATACAAATAAATTTAATTACAAATTATAATGTAATTTATTCATATAAAAATAAGAACATTCATTGAACATTGAATAAAATTTTAAAGATTATTATATATGCTTATATTTTAATAAAGAATATATTTAAAAATTAATATAGAAAATAAAAAGATCAAATGTAAACAAGAAAATAAAAAATCTTTGCCAAAATTGAATTAAAACATATATGCTAAGAACAGTACCTTATGCTAACTTGGTTTGTAGCGGTGTCAATTTGGGGTCAACTGGTCGGGTTTCGGGTTGAACTTTGAATTTGATTCGGATTTATGTGGTTCAACCCGAACTTGATCCAATTTTTTGCAAACAGTTCGGAACATTTCCAACCCGGACCTGACTCGTGCGGCGATTGCAGCGCGTTGACCCGGACCCGACCCGACCCGATTTTGTAGATTTTGCTGAAAAGCGCGAGTGAGTGTTGGCGAAATGGCCGCGCGATAGCGGGAGGAGCTCGCGAGCTTCCACAGCAAGGCGGAGTCCGCGGACCGTGCGACCAAGCCGAGTGCGGGGTCTGCCGGTTGTAGTCCGTGGCGGGTAGCGGGCAGAGTTCATTGAGATCCGCCGCAAAGTTGCGAGTGAGTGGAAAGCGCCCGGCAGTGGGCCGGGAGTTTACTGGACCGTGCGAGCGACGGCAGTGGGGCAACATCGCGAGTTGCGCTGGTTGGAAACTGGAAATGGACTCGACTTTGGGTTATATCTCATGTTGATTTTAGGTTTTTCAAGTTTAACCCGAACCCGACCCGTGTTTTTGAAAAGGCGTAAAAAAATCCGAACCCAACCCGTTTGCTAACCAGGTCAATCTGAACCCAGATTTTTCCGAGTTAGGTACGGTCAGTTTAGGGGCCTGTTAAAAAATTGACACCTCTACTTGGTCGATAGGTAAGGTGTAGTACTATTGAACATACATGTTCTATAGTGATGCATGGCCAAGATAAAAGTCAACGGCGATATCATATACCAAGCCCCTACATCAAGATCAGGGCTATTTATCATGCAACAGAGTATGTGCAAGAAAATGTTATGGAAAGATAATTTAAAGCTTATCAAAGGCCCTTTGATGGGTAGATGGACCGTACAGGTCATTAAGTCTAGCATATTTATAAATTAATTGATTTCAAGACAACTCTACTTGCCTTATTGATCAAATCTGATTGAAAACTTTTAATTTAATTTAATATATCTTTTTTTTTTCTTTCACGTAGTATTAGTACATGTCAACAATATATGTATTTATTAGCTTCGCAGGCTTTTCAAAATTGTCTAGGCTTAGAAAAAATAGCTAGGACTTTGCTTTGCACTTTTTTCATTCATTGATTAAAAAATGTTTTTTCTTATGCAAATGTACGCATGTGGAAAGGCTAGGTGGCTGCTCAACTTATTGGTGAAGCTTGGTGTTTGATCCCTCATAGCTTTGAAGAGTCCTTTGTAATTTCTTTTTACCTTTATTTCTTCTTTCTCACAACACAATTTTTATCACATTCACTTGGCCTTGAGCCTAGCTTCTCTCAACCCCAAAACCAATAAAATCTATTCTAAACTCTCCCTAACATTCCCTCACATATATATCTCAAAATCTTCAAAGACCTCAAATCTATAATAATTCTAAAGCGTTTTGTTTTTCTAGTACAAAAGATTCTTAAACTAGAAATTTTATGCTAAAAAACTGTTTTAGAAAACAATAAGAAAATTGTCCCAAACGAAATCTCAACCAGACGAGATGGCTGCATTCAGCCCCTTTTGATCTCACCTCAATGATTTGATTCCCTAACAACAACAAGAGGGCATTATCCGTTGCATTAACAACACATCATCATCATAAGAATAGAAAAACACAAAAAAATCCAAATTTCATAACAAGTAGTTGAGTGCAGGTGAAGCTAAAATTTTCCACTAAAGTGGAAGTAGATGTGGTAGCTATCCTAACTAAAAACTGATGCAAATACTCTGAAGCTTCCTGATATGATTAACTTTGGTCATGGCAATGATTAACTATATAATAGTAAACTATATGTGCCGATGCTCAGATTGAGTGCTTTGTCATCAACAAACAACAAAAGTTGGTTACCTATGAGGTTTTGGTTACAGACTTACAGTATAGTTCTTCCCCAATTGTAAGCTTCCTATCTTCCTTTTCTCAACCCTTCGAACAGCTGGAATAGCTCTGATATAGACACAAAATATGACAGGAGCAAAAGAAAATATGCTATTTCTGTGATTAAATAGCTTACCGTGCACGATAGACCATTTTGCCTTGTTACAGGTAACAGGGAAGGAATAGATTAAGCCAGCAGGTAAACCATAAGATCCTTTCGAAGTGTCACACTGCAAATAATTTAGGATCTGTTTGGAATGAGTATAATTTTTTATAAAGGTGGTTGTAAAACTTCTGTGAAGAAAATAAATTTTTACAAGTTGTTGTAAGAAACAACTTCGTAGTAAAAAAAAATATGATTATGATTTGAAAATCAAAATAATAAGAAAGATGTCAAAAACAAAATCTTGTTTAGGCTTCATTTGGGATGACTTACTTATTGCTTCTTAAAGCAGTTTTCTAGTTAAATTTTTTTTTTTACTAAAAAGTTAATTTTAGAAGTAATAAGAAAGCCGTCCCAAACGAAACCTTAATCACCATTGACTCTCCAGAAGAATCACTAAAGCAGCTTTCCTTTTAGACTTCTGAGCAAATAAAATATCAAATTCACACACACTACTAATAATGCAAATCTCGAACACAACATTTTTTAGTTGGCAAAATAAGCTCCCAACAAACATATTATGATGGATTGCACAATTCTTCTTTAATAGCTTAGAAGTTGATTTACCCTTGTAAATATGTAAATACCAAAAATACTAAAGTGACAAATCCCCTTTAAATATAACTATAAAAGATTTGTCAAAATTCCAAAGGGACGACGTCACGACAACCATCTCCCAACACCTTCTGGTTCCCCTAACACTAATCTCTACTCCCAAGTCCCCTTTAACATACTTAACATTTACAATGCATAATCATGTACAACAACAACATCATCATCAAGCCTTTTTATCCCAGTATGTGAGGTCAAGCTATATGAATCCTTTTTCTCCATTGTCCTGTTAAGAGTCAAATTCTCATTTAAATTTAATAAAAAAAATCATTTCTAATATTTTCTAGCCAAGACCCTACTTCTATCTTTCTTAGCATAGAAATCAATACATCTACTCTCCTAACACGGTCATCAGAAGGCAGACGCTTTATGTGTCCAACCTATTTAAGGTGACTCTCTCTAATCTTATATGCCACTAGAGCTACTCTAAACCTTTCACGAATATGCTAATTTCACATTCTATCTCTAAGAGTGAAATCATTCATCCACCTGAGCATTCTCATCTCTATAACACTTAACTTTATGCCTCTCTTTTAATGGCCAACATTCTGCCCCAATACAAAATCATATAGAAGATTATAAAATGATGCAAACTATGAAGAAGTAAAATAGTATCAGATTCATATTACTTCATTACTTTCAAGATCTGTTTCATGCTCACGTTAATAAAGAAAGAATTCCGGTGACCCCAATTCTGAGGCAAGTGATATGAAGTAAAATTTTAAATATTATAACAGCTTTTAAGAAAAAAAAAAAACTACTTGTTCTTTACTGCATTTTAGAGGTATTATTACTCTCTGATCTCATATATGCCCCATGTTTGCTCCAAGTTTTCTGTGCGCTTCATTCTTAAGGTTAGATATTCATTCAAGGTATGAGTGAGCCATAGATTTCTCTTCGGCGAGCTCATTTGCTGTAGCATCCATCTTGGCCCTAGAAAAATAATCAATCTTCAGGCCTGCACCGATGACGCGGGCAAGCCCAAGCGCGGGCTCGCGGCCGCAGTGCACGAGCGCGGCCGCGGTTCTGCGCCGACGGCGGCGGTCGGCTGCCCGGTCCGTTTTGGGGATGAATTTCGTCCCAAAAAGTCCAAATTTGACATTTTTGGGGTCCCCAGATACATTTTTCGACATTCCGGACTTATTTTTGACTTTTTCAGAGCTCAACAAGACTTCTATGATCAAGTTTCGAGGAACACTTAATTTTCGGAATGCAATTTTTGCATTTTGATCATTACAAATTTTCAAAACATATATTTTTGGACTCCTGGAGCTTCGACGTCCGAAAATAGGGGAGCAACTGATACATCATCATGAAATAACTTGATCGAGCACGAATCTCGAGGAAAAAACCAATCCGGAAACTTCAAAAATTAAATCCGGAAGCACCCGAACTCCGATTTCAGCGAGCTTACAGTCAAACTGAGCGTCTCGGAAATACGAACCCAACAACACCAAATTCAACCAAATCCGAGCCCAAATGGGTCCAAAATCAAGGACCCAAAGCGCTTGGAAGGTTCAAACCTCAATTTGAGTTAACAAACGGTCTTCGATTTTAACGAGCTTATAATATAATCGAATAGCTCGACGAGACAAATCCAACGAGCCCAAGATCGCCAAATTCCGACATCACTAAGGCCTCCAAATGTCCAACGAATGGCACACAATTGAAGGGTTCAATATCAGCCGTCCATTCGACCACTCCCTATTCGTCCATGATCTCACACCTGTTTATAAGTCATGCCACTCCAGAAAAACTATAAATAGAGTCCTCATTCTTGACAAGAGGACTCAAGTGAGAAGAGAGAGAAGAAGAGAAGAGAAGAAGGGGAAAGGGAGAATCATCTCCTCCTCGATCATAGCCGGAGTTTTTTCCGCCACCTGAATACGCCGGAACTCTGCCGGATTTTCGGGAGACGACTAAATTCTGCAAAATCTTGTAAATTTATTTCAAGTTAGAAGAAACGGATTGTAATCTGATCGTCCTGACTTGTGTGATAAATCAGCTTCTTGTAATTTACAAAACACTAGTGGAACTTTTCAACTGGGCGTGGCCCTGGGGTTTTTCCCTCTTTCGGGTTTTCCATGTAAAAATCCTGGTGTTCATTTTCTTTTCTGTTTGTGTGCTGAATATTCGTCCAACGCTCATACGTGAATTCGTAAACTCTACCGCCACGTATATTCAAGCCCGCAACAATAATGTTAATATGCTATAGATATATTTTATTGTTCATATGGTGTTACATTATCATACAATATTTTTTATATGTATAGATTTAATTCTGTAATAGTTTTCTGAGTAGCCTTCTAAGCTGGTGTTGCTCGCCCATTCTTTACCTGCCTTTGTTATTTTCACTTTAACATTTAAATGAATATTAATGAAAGTGTGCGGTTTTATAGTTTTGAAAGAAATTTATAAATATAAGTTTTAAGTCAATTATCCATATCAAAGCACATATATCATCCTTTAAATCAGTCCATTAGCATTTATTACCTAGTATTTTGGCAGCTTGAGAATGAATATTTTTTTGTGGCGCATAAAAACATAATACTTAATAAGAAAATAAGATAATTTGATAATATGGATATGATAATAAAACCTATCAGATGTTTACATGATGATTGATGATGGCAATGGCACACTTGAGTCATATATAACAACATGCATCATCATGATTGCAATATGATAAACATGTTCATCAAATACCACTACAGAAAATTCACACGGTATCGATGAAATTTTCGGCATAAAACTTTCACCGAAATTTTCGTTCGTAATTTGTGAAACCCGACGGAATTTTTAATAAAAATTTATGAGTTACAAAATAGAAGTCTAATATCTTCTAAACAAATATGAAGTCTAATATCTCACAAAATAGATTAACCATATTGATTAAACTTCTAAGACGTCTTCAGAGGAAGAAGAGGGTGATGGAAAGACAATATTTTGATGGACCAGAGCAGCCAAACTAGCACCAATGAGTGGGCCGGCCCAATAAACCCCATGGTTTTTAAAATCCCCGCTCACTATGGCTGGACCGAAGGACCGAGCTGGGTTCATGGACGCCCCCGTGAGCGAACCAGCCGCCAGCACGCATGACCCAACCACAAACCCGATCGCCAGCGGCCCATTTACCGATCCGGCCTTCCTCCCACCGGCCACCCGCGGGTCCGCCGCCACATAAACGGTGTAGACCAGCATGAAGGTTATCACCCCTTCCACAACCGCCCCTCCAAAGCCCGTCATCTCCGTCGCTATCTTCGTCGTTGGCACCGCCTGAGTCAAGCGCGCGCATTTAGTTCATCAACAAGAAAGTTTTGAATATGATTAGTGAAGAGAGGGAGAGAAGGCGCTCGGGCTCACCTGACCAGCGGAGGCCAAGCGGATGAGAAGGCAAGCGAGAGTGGAGCCTAGCAATTGAGAGATCCAGTAGAAGACGGCAGTGGGGATGGCGATGTGGCCGCCGAGAACAAAGGCGAAAGTGACGGCAGGGTTTATGTGGCCGCCGGAGACATCGGCGGCTATGTATATGGCGGCGAACACCGCGAAGGCCTGCGACGCCGCCGTGGCCACTAGAGACGATGCGTCGGATGTCACATCAGGCGTCAGCATTCGGGCGGAAATGGTGGAACCGGTGGCGGCAAAGACGACGAGAAAGGTGGAGATGAATTCGGCGAGACAGCAGCGGAGAGTGGGAATGGAGAAGCATTCGTATAACTGAGAGCGGGCAGTGGAAGCCATTAATTTTCTATTTTTTATGTTGTTTTGAAGCTTTGGTTTTCTGTGATGAGAGACGAGAGTGCAGAAATGAGACTGTATGGTTTTTAAAATTGGAGGGGAGCGGGTTTGGGCGAGGAGGCGCGATGGGAAGGGCAGTCGTAACGATTACTTGTCGCCGTTTCCCGACCGTTGCTGAACCGGTGTGCACTTTGGCTTTATGGGATATGGTTAAATTTCGGCAAATGAACTACATTTACCCCTACAAGAGGATTAATTATTCTGCGTGGAAGCCGAATGCCGTCCGAAGATCAACCAGAATTCATCACTTCATCTCTGTGCTCAGTACCACGGCTCGGTATTGCTCGGTATCGTTCGGTACCGCAGGTCAGTACCACTGACGTGACACATTCTGGATGGTCTACAGACGACATTATGTGTTCGGTCTCCGCACAAAATAATTTCTCCTGCTAGAGAAACTTGAATTTCATCTACTTGTTTAAGGAGCATAAAAAATTAAATGATAGAATAAGCATATGATTAAACTTAGCTTAACCACTCTTAACTTCAAACCCTAAGTGGGCTTACAAAGAATAAGATTATTTATCTATGATCACATAAGAAGATAGAAATATATGCAATGTTGGCATATGGTAACGGCTAAGTTAGTCCTCCCCTAGAAGACAACAGTCTTCTTCCCCTCATACGGCAGCACGCGGAGTTCACAGTATGATTTGATTGCCTTCCGCAGACATTGCTTCTCCAGGTTTTCTGATTTTGCCACAAAGCTCTCTAACGTATCTCTATGGGAAACTCTCTCCACCTGTTTCATACAGTTGCAAATAATGAATCAACATCATATTTATTTCGGATTGACTTTATGAATTCTCATTATACATTCATTTCACTCAGGCTTCGTTGCAATGACTTTTTTATTACTTTTCAAAGCAGCTTTTTAGTAAAAAAAATAAAAAGCTACTTTAAAAAGTAACAAAAAAATTTTTTCCAAACGAAATCTCCGTGTGCTAAACGAAGTTCCAACTTCCAAGTATTTTTATCAAAAATTAACTTGTAGGCTACCAACATACAATTGCAGAGGAAAAACAAGTTTAATTCACTTCCAACAAAGTAAATTGACCAGACAAGTCACTTTAATTCACATTACTACTTAAAATCATTATCTTAGAATCCTACATTGCTGTTAGTATCAACATACTAACCGCAAAGAACATTTGAGGCTTCTGGATTTTGCCAATGGACTAGAAACATAGACCTTTCCAGGTTTCATGCACAAATACAGTAATCATACAAAATTGGTTCCCAAAAGAAAACCATAAATTACTAGTGACAAGAAGCGGAGGCTAACTGGATCATATATAGCTAGTACATGCAGGCAGACATACATACTTATCTGCAAATTTGCTAATTTACTGTATCTGTATTGATAACTTGACATACATTGACATCTGAATCATTTACATGCATGCAGGAATTAATAGTCATCAGCATATTTGTTTATTTATTTTTTCTACATTGATGTTAATATCACCCAATAATTTGAAAATTGGTTTATGGGTTCATTCATATGTCACTTATTGCGAGCGATCTCATGTGCTGGAGCGTCTCCATCTTTCAAAATATGTGAAGGATAAATTATTCTGTGCAAACACCGGACCGTTCAGAGGTGAATCAGAGCACGCCACATCACCCGGTACACAACGAGTGCACAACCGTTGTACACAGCAAAAAAGTGACGTGACGCGCTCTAATTGGCCTCCGGACGGCGTTCTATGTCCGCATAGAATAATTTTTTCATGTGAAGAGCGGCGAGCACCAATGCCAACTTATGTTTGAGCACATGCACACTTACGTGCATGTATGTGAGCATACATATGCAATTTTACATTTACATGTATACGTGCACAGGGAAATAACGAAAATTTATGCAAATACAGAGAGAAAAGAAAACATAAAATAAAAATGAAGATCGGAGAAAAAAAATCACATAAAAATTTTATATGGGTTCTTCTATATCATGCCGTTGTAGATTTCACTATTGATTGTGGAGAACTACAACCTTAATTTCTAAGATATAAATGTAAGACGACACCTCCGCTCCTATAAATAAAAACCTATAATAGCAAAATATAACAAAATCACAAAAACACCCCCTAATGAAATAACCATAAATGTTACATGCATTTCAGGGGCTCCGTTCCATTGCAGCAGCGATCTTAAAGTAAAGATCAACTCGCGATTAAATATGTGTAGTGTTTTTTCTGTGAAATGGCAAATTATAAATGTGTGAATGCAATCTTTCAAATTCATCCATCCAAGCATATAGATACCCTCAACAATCAGCAATAAAAGAGAAAATATTGGATATAAAACAAAAACAGTACCATCTGCTCAATAATAGGACCTGCATCCAGTTCTGGAGTTACAAAGTGAGTTGTCGCACCAATCAGTTTCACTCCAGCATCATATGCCTGGTGATCAAATAAATCTCAGAACCACCAAATAACATATGTGCAGTGATGAGGCTTTGTTTGGGACGGATTTCTTATTGCTTTTTAAAGCAACTTTTTAATTAAAAAATTAAAAATTGTGTACTAGAAAGCTGCTTTAAGAAGCAGTAAGAAAGCCGTCCCAAACAAAGCATAAGGCTTCATTTGGGACTGCTTATTTATTGCTTCTTAAAGCAGTTTTTTAGCACACATTTTTTAATTCTTGTACTAGAAAGCAACTTTAAGAAGCAATAAGAAAGCCGTCCCAAATGAAGCCTAAGAGTAGAAAATAAGATGAGCACCTGCTTGGCAGGATTGCTACCCTTAAATGACGGAAGAAGCCCATGATGTATGTTAATTATATCTTTACCATAGCCCTCCAAAAAATTAGCTGATAATACCTGTTTAATATTTGTACTTGATCAAAGATAAATTGAAAAGAATTCACATATCTATAATATAATGAAAAGGATATACCTGAATCCCAAAGTTTTGGAAACTCGCCTAAAATTTAAGTTTATTCTTAATCAAATTATATCTACTAAATTTCAAGCAAAGAGGATTATTACTCGTGTGGTAGTGCATGCAGTTACATTTAACATGTTATTTAATGGATACAAATTAGCTCGGGATATCTTAACCAAGTTTTTTATCAAGAAAGTCTCAAAGCTAGCTGATTTACTTTGAGATGTGTAATAAAAAATTTGATTGATTCTCCATGTATTACACTCATACCAAAGCAAAATCAATGATTTTGAGACCCATCTTGACGAAAAATTGATTATCATATCTAGACCAAAACTTCTTCCATATTTAACTAAAGAGCTATTTGGTTCATTAGTTCACCCAACATGAACAATATCTCCCATGAAAAAAAAAAAAAAAATTCACATTAGCTAAAAAGTAATAACAAAGGATTAGGCATGTCTACAGATGTTCAAGAAATCACACCCCAGCTGATTAACTTTTCATTGGAGCAATAACAGATTAAAAGAAGAACCACAAAAAATTGAGCAAGATGACGGGTTATCTAATATGAGATATTTGGGAATCTATAAGTTTAGAGTTGTGCACCTGCATATATCTAGCAAGGACAAGAAAATCAGAACCTTTAACTAGATTCAAGATCTCCTTTTCTCTTTTATCTACAGAACTGGTTGGCATGAAATAATATGGAATTCCATTCCTCTCAAGAAAGCGTACAACATGGGTATTTGGAGATCTATCATGATTGCTGTGGAAAGATATTTAAATTAGGAGCAAAAATATTTTATAGTGGAAGAAGTTCAATTATAAAACCACCTTATTACACAGTTTATATCCACAGGAAGCCTACCATCCTGCCAACCATGCAGAACATCCACAAGACAGTGGTCCTGTATGAGCATTAATTAAATTTAATAAAGGAAAACATATAAAAGTTGTAAAAAACAAACATGGTATAAGAAGAACTAAAGAAGAATACCCCAGTCGCACCTGCTTTGAAGCAAGAATTGAAATCTTAAATTTTGGATCTGCATCAGGAACCCGAACAACAGATCTTTCTGCCTGGAAGAGTTTCCCTATGTTCATAAAGTCATTATCCATCACATCCCGAGGCCAGCTTGCAGGATCAAATACAAATTCACTGCCAAGTTTTATATCTATAAAAAATCAGAGTTGTTCAATCATAAAAAAAAACTTACAAATGAAGATTGCTTCAGAATTTAGCATGGCTTAAAACAGTTAAGAGTTACAGCAAGAAGTTTCGTAATATTACTTAATATAGACCAATATTTCATTAAAACTACTAGCGCAGATTTGCCTGGTATCATATAAAAGGAATTCATAAAATGATGAAAGGCATAACCAGTGTGTTTAGTAAGGGGTGTTGATATAGAACGGCTTAGTGTTAGAATTTTCTAATATGACTAGAGTAATGGAAGAAAACTTAGGATTCACATATAATCCACTGAATAAGCCAATAAATTGCTTTATTTAAATGCATTCTAAGAACTATAACCCATATGATAATATAATGATGGAATAAATCTAAGGAAATTAGTGAGATATTCAAACCACAAAATCAATGAGGAATTGCAATTTCATAACTAAAACTTGATTCTTAGTTATGTCAAATTTAAACGAAATCAGGAATAAGTTGAAAAAAGTAGAAAAAATTGTATTAAGGAGCAGTTGGTTAGAGTATTAGGGGTGTATTGTATCTATTTTCATACATTTAAAATCTTTTAATATCTGATTTAAATAAAAAGAATTGCACAGTAAAATTTTGAGGTATTACAAATACCTTATCATTTATTGTCCTTGCATTCTGAACTCACTTGATTTAGCCAAATTTCAAATCTTATGCATCTTGTCTTTGCTAAATCCTGTTGCACCTCACCTAGCCTTGTGCTGCTAAATAGCATCACGCCTTGCCTCGCTTTGGCCATCAGAAACCCTTGCAATTTGCCGTTGTGCCTTATCTCATGCCTAGCTTCACCATCGCACCTTGCTTCACTTGTCATCATTGCCACCTAACCTCAATGACAAAACTCGTCACCCCTTGTCTCGTCCTTCATGTCATTGATACGCTCATGACTTCGTTACCATCACCCTTCCATACCAATATTGTCAACTCTACAAAGTAGGATGCATGAGATTAATTGCACACGCTTTACTACAATAAGAATAATAAGCACTTATCCCAATATGTGGGGACAACTACATGAATCAATTTTCTCCTTCGTGTTCTCTTAAGAGTCAATTTCTCATTTAAATCCAACTAAAAAAATATCATCATTTATACTTTTTAACCAAGTCCTTTTAAGTCTACCTCTATCTTTCTTAACATAGGCCGGATCTAATACATCTACACTACTAACAGAAGATCATCGGAAGGCCAACGTTTTGATGTGACCAGACCATCTAAGGCTCTTTGATCATTTGCCACTGGAGCTACTCCAACGTTTTCACGTATATACTCGCTTACAACTAATAAAATAAAATAAAATAATAATAATAATAATAATAACATTGTTGTCTAAGTTTTACATCTAACCAAATCATTTCAAGAAAATAAGATATATTACCTTTTTTTTTACTCCAAAATCTTAAAATATATATATTCTAAATACATTTAACCAACTGTGCCTTAAGAAATTTATCAAAAGTAAGAATTGCAGGCCATAGGCTGATACAAAGAGATGAATTCTCTAAAATTAATTGGTAGCACTCGTAACGCACTCAAAGGAATCATACATTAACTTGCACTCATAAGATTCAATCAAAGATGTAAAATAATTTTACAGACAATCTATATGTGGGTTTTATACTTTTTTTTTTTTAATGTGGGTTTTATACATGCTAGTATAAAATTTGCCTAGTTCCATTCCAATTTATTTAAAATTTAGTTGAATATTTACGAGCATCAGCAGAAACAAATTTATTCAGATGTTTGAATCAGCAGCCACATGAAGTAAGCCGCATGCTTAAAAAAACAACACCGCAAAACTGCACATGAATCTCACAAAGCCTGCAGTAGTAGCAAAAATAGTCCTGATAGAAGCCAACAGGAATATAAATAAAACAAAAAAATGCAGGAAAGAAACTACAAAATCTTCAGAAAACATAAACATAATAATCTACCACAAAATAATAAATAGCAAAAACAATCTACTGCTGCTCTTGAGGTGGTGGTCCACCAAATGCGCCTGCAGGACCAGCTGAAAATAATAATGAGTGAGATTGATAAATCAAACTCAGCAAGTAACTACTAGCTATCAAGACATAAAAAATAAAGGAATGGGATATGCAATACGAACAACCAAAAGAGGCGAGTACTAACCTATAATCACTATATCAAAAACTACTATGAGATATGCTATGTTTTCTATAATATATTCTAATATGCATGAATATATGTCAATTAATTTTTCATGTCAAATCACTTCAAAGTTTACAAAAGCACCACACTAGATATCATTATATCATTATACCTCAAAATGATCTATTAATCATTTGTTACTTCCAATTCATGTCCACTTATATTTTCTTACATTTAATATATATTTTTATAGTCAGTTCATCATATACTCACCACCGAGAAGTTATGATCCATAGACACGGACACGGCGACACAGACACGGACACAGACATGGGACACATCAATTATTAAAAATATAGGACACATAAAGGGGTTGGACATGGCATTATAACTTTTATATTTTAAAAATAATGTATAAAATTTGAATAAGTATATATTAAAAATAATTTAGAAATAATAATTCATTGAACTAAAATTTAAGCTTAAAATGATTAATATTAGGATATCTAGAGTCGGACGTCGATGTCTTGTATTAAGCATCAAGAGAGGAGACGACAATGTTGTCAAGAGTCGGGCATCCATGTTATCATATTCTTATTATTCACGTGCAAAATACATACAATATCATGGAACCTTTGTAAATCTCTTTAGATATTTCTCTTTCATAAAACTTCGATCAAACATGTAATATGTGCTGCTTTGTCATTGTATTCTAACAGAATCTATACCCATCCCATTTAAAAGCCCTAAATTCTATTTAGAAACTATAAATAGTCCCCTCAACAAGAATTTCTTACAACAATTTTAAAAAAAGGTTATCCTTTGCAGTTTGCACTGATAAACTTATCTTATTTGAAAACACCTCCGGCTCTAATAAACTTTATTAACATCATTGTTGTATTTATACAAAATATTTTACAAAGAGTGACCAATTGCTTCAAGCTAGCTGCTACCAGCATATCATTTTCTGTTGATCTTCTATCAATAAATCTATAACTTCGGCAAGGACATGGCCAAAGACAACACATGATATGATACTCTTACAGAAGTTACATTATGAAAGCAAAAATCATAAACAAAAGTTTCAAGGGATGCACCAACAGAATAACTCTTGCGAGTTCTATAACGAACAGAAACTAACTGGGGGCATCAATCAATCCAAATGATTGTTTAAGAAATTAGCCACATCGTAATGGAAATAGAGACAGATTTTTTTTCACTGAACTGATAATCTTTAGCTCGCCAACCTGCATCCCAATATTGTCTTCCTGAATACTGTATATCCTAACATCTACCAACCCAACGGTCCAATACCCACGAAAAATTAAGCAATTCACATCTACACATCTTCCAAACCTATGAAAAGCGCAAGAGACAGAAGCAAGAAAACAATAACCTCCTTGAGTAGAAAACAATAACCTCCTTGAGTAGAAGACCTGTTTGTTCTCCGGGACAAACACATCCACGCTGTGAATGTTGGCACCGCGAAAGGCGATACATTCCGATACCTTTGAGACAATGCCTACCACGTCCTGATAACAAATTCATCTCGATTTATGATGGAAGAGAAGCGGTGATCGCGACTGGATAGAAGGAAGAGAGTGAAGCGGAAGCCTACCGGGCAGTGGAGAACGTGGATGCCGAGGAGCTGAGTATGGGCTGCGGTGCCTTCCGAATTGATGGAAGAATGGATGGTCCTCAGGCGAGGGAGGAAGCCAGAGAAGTTTTTCCTCCAAAATGCCATTAGGATCTGCCTAGGTTTCTGCTCTGCGTTTTTCCATTCTTCATCAATACAGTGCTAAAAAAAGAGAGAGTTAAAACCTAACTTCAAAGTCTTTGAAAATTTATATATTCATCAAATAACATTCATGATTTATCCGTTAAAAAATAAATTATTAAATTTGTGCAATTATATATATAAAACTTAATATATAAATGCTAAGTTGTCATCAAATTGTTTTAATTTTAATAGGAACAATTTATTGAATTTGATTGTTGGATCCATAAAATAAAAGAGAAAATGGTCTTATTCAAAACACCTTATTTTTTTAATCAATTATGTGCTTCAATATAATTCCCAGGAATAAGCATTTTAGCTTGTTTTCAATATTCAGCAGCTTGATCGAACCAACCTCCGCAATTTTCGAATCGCCTCCTGTTCTCCCCGGATATGACAACATCATTCTATTCGATCGATTAAGCATCTTGTGTCAGAATTGAGAAGCTCTATTATCCGAATCTTTAGTATTCTCTTATTTATCACATGTGTCTACTATTTAGGCAGTATGTCATCGCCTATTGTCACTAAGAAACTGAAAAAGAAAGAAACATCAGAAATGGAAGAGTATTGGCATTTTGTGTCACTGCCATAAGCGAATTATCTCCACAACCTGTATTTAAGAATATTCCATTCACACGTTCGGGATTGCGCTTTTAAAAAACAAATAAATAAAAATAAATACAAGTTTGAAATGACCATTATAGTCTTGATGTAGATCAATAAATAACACTAATTTTTTTCTGTGAATCATAACTAGATAAGATAATAGTTTTTGAAAGGATGCTCTCACATAGGTGATAGCTTGTTCACAATACCACGAAGCATTCTCGTAGAAAAAAAAATGAATGTGATAGTCTCTCTTCATGTTCAATATGCTTATCTTTAATTAATTAGGTTGATAGGCAATGAGCTTATCTTTAATCATATGTACAATGAGCCATAGTTGAGCTCATTGGAGGTCTTTAGTTCTTACAACTAATGTACAAGTGTATTTTGATAGTTACTTTGCAAGAAAATTTCATTTAAGTGGAAATCACGATCATCATCATTAAGTAGCTCAGTTGAATGAATTGGCAGTGTTTCATTGAAGCGTATGCCACATTATGTTTTATATTAATTTCTTCTTATCAATCTTTGTCATTTTGTATAATATCAATGAGATTGTTGAGAGAAATATTTCTCTATATTTTCATTCTTTTGCTCAGTTTTATTAGTGCATATTTGGTCATCTTGTATGTTTTCTTTCGATTCTCTTTCATATAATATAAGAATAATAATGCATGATTTAACTATAAAATATATTTGCAGATAAAAGAATTACATACGGGTCTCCTAGCTTTCAATAAAAAGAATTGAACATTCTATCTAGTTTGGCTAATCTTGATCCAATCTCCTCATTCTTCAAAAACCTTAATTAATGTTGATGCATCACCTAAAGATCGATAAACTAATGGAATGAGGCAAGTTTAGTAGAAGATGCATAGCATCTTCGAAGTAAATCAATTAGTTCTTACTTCTAATTTCAATCCCCGATATTTACCAATCCTCTCTGTAGAGGATTTCTATCCATGTCGTGTTGATAATTTCTATATGAAAAAAAAAAAAAAAAAACATATGCATGTACTATTAGCACTGCCCTTGGTTCAAACCATAGTATGTTCATATCAATTCATATGCTATTAAACATACCATACATTCCTGATAATGTGCACAAATCTTTATATTTCTAGATCTAAAGTTTGAAAACATAAAAAATCAATCCATTGTTACGGTTTAGCCTTCAACCCAATATTAATTTTTCATACCCCGGGGACAGGTGAAATGATGATGGTCTTTTACTATAGATGAGATAATGTAATGAACTTTGGAGTGATGACATATATAATGGAGGAGAGTTAAAAGGGAATGATGGAGAAAACATGACGGAGAAAAAACATTGACGATAAATAGATTAGGCAAATCAAACATTATATTGATTGCTCATTGTGGCAAATTACAAAACCGTGAAGAGTCCATATTCTCTTTTTTCCATAATTACATAGCAAACTCTTCCCCTTACAATTCCTTAACATCGTCTTTCATTCGAGACTCAACTTGAGTAATAATATCTTTCAAACTATTTATTCTTTCTTTGTACAAATAATAATGACGAAGAAATGATTCTTCCTTTGGAAGTTGGTTTGGCTATGTTGGTTACTTTGTTATTAGTTTTTTCGGCTGCAATATTAGGAATCGAGTATGGACAATGATGAATGCAGGTTTGTTTTACAGACCAGATTGGACGGCATGACTGGTTGAAACCTAGGTGGATGACGGGATTCCTTCTACATATTTGGTAGATTTTGAATTTTTTTGAGGATGGTTACTTTGGACTTTCGTCTGTTTACCTTTTTTTATGCCTTTTTGGATGGCCAGCCTGACAAAATAAATGCAACATAAAACATATACCATATAAGATTAGTGGCTGTCTGTCCTCACTTATTTGCATTCAGATCGGGTGACCTTGTCTTTTATTGTAAATATATCTGATTATTATCTCTTCTCTCTGTGGCCATTTATTGGCCATGTGGGTTCTTATGCTTTTACTATTCAAAATGAAATTTTCTTTTTTGTTAGAAAAAAAAAAGATGAACGAAAATACCAATCAAATTTTTTAGTAAAAATCTATTTTTCTAACATCTACTTTTCTCTCAAACACTTATTCTTTATCTTCTATTAAAATCAATATTATTTATTAACTAAATTTCTTTGCTTTTTTCCATTAATTTTTATATCCTATTTCATGGAAATCATAATACTTCACATAAATCATAATCATCCCTCTTTTATGTTCATCAAACCTTCACAAGTAATTAGGCTCTCATTTTTTTAAATTTATATAATGACGCCCAAATTTATCCTTAATTAATGTCCTAATTAGATTGTAATTACAATAATATTTTTAATGGCCTAATTTTATCATTAGCATGCCGCACACCTTCAAATATTGATCGGAAGGTTTCCAATTTTTTTTATATGTCCTAATTAGATTGTAATTACAATAATATTTTTAATGGCCTAATTTTATCATTAGCATGCCGCACACCTTCAAATATTGATCGGAAGGTTTCCAATTTTTTTTATCTTTAACCCCCAAAATTCGGGCTTACTTTCTTCGCGAGACCATCGACCCCTTTCTCCGATCTACTGTAACCCACTAAAGGGGGTTTCTTTCTTCTCCGCCGCCTCCGCCACCTCCACCACTACCAGCGGCAACTAAGGATGCCGGTAACCACTCTTTCTTTCTGGATCTTACCGACCTCCTCACAATAAAGCTATCTATTTTGTCAAATTCTCTATTGATCTTTGCAATAATCTGTGACAAAACGAGCAGGGCGAGGGATATAGCTTTTTAGGGTTTTAGCCAGGTCGATCTATTTGCTTAGGTTGTTGTTCTTTTTCGCAGCTGAGGAGACTTTTGGAGTTGGAGCCGCCGAGCCCGCTGAGGTACTTCATCGGTGCGGCGATCATGATGGTGGGCGTTGTACTGCCTCTCGGTTACATGATGTTCCGCAATAAGCGAGCTCCTTCGTCATCTTCTTCTCTCTCCAAGCATACGTAGGTGTGCTTTTCTTGGTCTGGTTTCTTACCCATGTTAGTTCCCTAGATTCTTTTGCAGATCTCATGATCTCATCGTCTTAGATGAGATCTCAATTTTATCGATTTGGGGACTCTGAGTCCACAGATCAATTGTTAAATTTTCTTTTCGATTTTTGCTTTGCAGGAGTATCTGAAGGTTGAATAGGCCTCGGTACTTACCTTCTTCTTCATTAACCGTTCTTCTGGTCTGTGTAGAGGTCGCTCTTCAAGGATGTGGAAGCCAAGAAGCTTCTAATTTGTGGCTGGTATGATGTCAGGGAATGATTTTTGGATGATTTGTTCTTATTTGTTAGAGGAAGAAATGCTTTCATAAATATTTAGCTCTACTAAAGTTTTGCTGGTGCATGTTTCATTCATTGAAATTGGCTTATTAGTGGAAATTTATTTGATGAGTTTTCATTGAGGTTTTTCCCCTCTTCTTATTCTTCCAATTCAGTTGATAAATAAATACGAAGAAATCTGCCATCAGTGAAATATGCTTGTTGGAAACTTGCAGAAGGGAGAGGACTCGTTTGAACATAGATATCTCATTAGCTATTAGTCATCTGAAACAATATTTGCATATCCAAATTATGTTGGTCACACAGCTCTTCATAGTCTGTTGGTTGGTAGTTAAGCCTATTAACTAAGGCTGTATTTGGGATGACTTTCTTACTACTTCATAAAGCTGCTTTCTAGTTAAAAAATTAAAATTTTTGCACTAAAAAGCTGCTTTAAGAAGCAGTAAGAAAGCCGTCCCAAACGAAAACTAAGAGTTCTTGGGTTCGAGTTTTGTGTATGCGATATGTGTGTGAGTCTGACTTAATTGATCTAACCATCCTATAAAAAAAAAAAAACTAATGTTGTTCGTGGTCTTTTAAGAACACAGATGTTCTTAATTTGTCATCATCTTGGTTTACTATCCCTAATAGGGAAAATATAGTATTTTTGTATCCTTTTAATGTCTGTATTCGGATTTGAAGGACAAAATGAATAAGATTATGGGAAATCCTTTAATATGGAAGTAAAACCTAATGATATTCAAATTAAATCAAATTTTTACAACTAACTCAAATTTAAACATAAAAGTTTTTTGCGTAGGATAAGTTGTCATAGTGTAAATGAAAATCAATATAATTAAAGAAATACACTTGAATTCCATGAAGTAGCTTGGCCCTAAATCCTAAACCCTAAACCTGCTTTTCGCACTAATTCTCGATTGGTGCTCATGTGTTGCATCATTTCACTGAAGGCCAAAACAACTTGCCTCTAGAGAGTTATAAGCGCGGTTCTCATCAAGTAAATTTGGTATCATGCTCATCAACTTGCCATGTATGGGCTAAAAAAATATTCAAAAAAAGATTAGTTCTTCCAAAATTAGATATTGTGGACTCCTAAAGCATATCTAGTAATTTCATTTGTAATTTTGTCCACGTTATCAGGTGGTATAGTAATGTCATATGGAAGTGTAGGTAATTCATTGAAGTAGAAGCCTCTACCTATAGAAAGATTACCTTAAGGTGCAACAAGCTTTAGGGTTCCTTAACCAAATGAATACAATAAAATTCTCAAGGCTAATCAATCAAATAAGTGCATAAACAACTTCAAGGAAAGCGTTTGGTTGATATGGAACTAGAATCTTGCTTTCTTTTATGAACATCATGCATGATTCTATATTTCTCATTTTCCTTGGAAATTTGCAACTTTATATTGGAATGAAGTGTATGCTTATGTTAAAAAAAAATATGCTTTGGATTGAGAATATGTATGCTTGTGTAATGATATAAATCCAAGAACTTTTTAGGATGTATGTTATAAACAGCTTCAAAAGGAAGTTTCTTAGTTGCGGGGTGCACAAAATTACTGTAGGCATACTCTGCAATTGTAAGCATTAGGTCCCATTTGGCTAAACAATTGACAATCAAGCATTTTGGTTGATTAAAATTTCGTTTGAAACGGCTTTCTCACTGCTTCTTAAAACAGCTTTCTAGTATAAAAATTATTTTTTTTGCATTAAAAAGCTGTTTTAATAAACAAAAAAAAAGCCGTCCCAAACGAAGCCTAACTAAGCATCCATTGACCGCTTTTGTTTATCCATTAATCTGTAGATGGAAGGAAGATACAGATTTCGAAGGGTTAACAATCATCTTCTTTAAAATTCGCCAAATATTGTCAAGAAAACAGACATCACTATCAGAAAAAATGTAATCCTTGAAAAGTTAGAAAATAGGTAATCCATGTAATCTAAAAATTTCCTTAAAAGAACAACCTTGCACATACATTCCACTGCAAAAATATTGTAAGGATTCTATTCTAAAATTACTAGGTCTTTGTTTCAGTGGATATCCTCTTTAGTATTTTTAATAAAACATCATGGTGTTGCAAATTATAGCTTCCGATGTTTACAAAACTCAAAGGCATTAAAGTAGGACTTTATTTGGGACAATTTTCTTATTGCTTTTTAAGATAATTTTTTAGTATAAAAACTTTTAGTTTAAATAATTTTTTATTAAAAACTGCTTTAAAAAACAGTAAGGAAGTTGTCCTAAACGAAGCCTTAACTCTATCATGATCAATCAAATTGACAAAGAAGAGTTTGCTAAACAAATACTTGAATTGCTTGAGTTTCATACAACTCATTCGGCCTGTTTCTAGCAATCATAGTACATGCTGCCTTTTTTTTTATGCTTCGTTTGAGACGATTTTGTACTTTTTAAAATAATTTTTTAGTATAAAAATTAACATTTTTGTATGTAAAAGTTGCTTTAAGAAATCGGAAAAAATTTATCCCAAACAAATTCTTAGCGAAGATGATGGATCAAAAATTTGTTAGATTAGCAACATTCAGCAGTCAAGGACATTCTGAGTGGATTGTTGTGCCATTTAAATTAAAAAATTGCACCACAACTATTGCAAAATTAGATGAATGGCTTATCTGGGCATTTATCCGTTGTGGTTGTTTACATTGATGGCATTTTGGTTTCCGTTGGCAGTAAAAAGCACAATGGGGGAAATTCAGTCCAAAAAAGATTGCTTTGTTCATCACCTAAAAACTTATTATTATGAGTGTTTTTAAAATTAATTTATTATGTTTTTCTAGATAAATAGCTAAAAGATATTTTTTAAAGACAAAACAAGAAGCTTATGTGGGTCTTCGAAAGAATGTTGTTCGCAAAGTTAGAAGGCAAATGGTATGATGACACTATCCTAGAGGATAAAATGGTCATAGGCTTTTACACTATGCAAGCAGGCCGATGAAGAGTAGATGAAATTATACATATGATTATCCATAAAAAAAATAACAGCTTTCGTCTACTCATCTCGATGGATAATAATATGTATAACTCGATAGTCATGAGAATTTTCCCATTCATTACATTAGTTTGAATGAGGTGGGGAAGCGACGCTAGCAATGTGATGTAGATATGTGAGATTTATAATCTCCGAAGAGTCAGCTGGGGCCAAGGCCCCCATTTTAGATTCGCCCCCTGATTATATGAACAAACAACTTTAACAAAATTGGTTGTTTTTCTTAATTCTCAGTGCATTTATGCATATGAAACAAAAGAAGAAAAACAATCCAATAAGATAAATATATATATGCTAATTACATATGCCAAATGATTCTAAACCTCTCATTTTTTATCCCAAAATCCATGAAATCCAAATGGGAAACTTAGATGTTCTGGCACTTCTAGCTTCACCACTATAGCATCTTCATCTCCTATTCTCTTTGCATCCAGCACCACAAGATAACACTTCTGCCTGAAAATTGCATACTGCTCCATAAAAGGTAACAAATATGAGCAAAAAATATTCATAGAAGGTGTGTGGAAATGGGCGAATTCTTAGGTCCGGTCACCTGATAGAGAAATACATCTGGATTTCTCTCTATCTATAGTAAAGCACAGTTACTGTAGTAGCTGCTCTTTAATTGTGCTTTTACTGTAGACAGAGAGAAATCCGGATGTATCTCTCTGCCAGGTGTCTGGACCTAATAATTTTCCGTTGAAATGACAAAAAATAATTTTACCTCTATAACAATAATGTAGCCATCTTCCTCATGTTTGGTCCCTTTGGAAATGAACATGGGCTCTCCTATGAACATTCGATTCTCAGTACACCATGTCTTCACTATATCATTGTAACTATCAAACTTGACAATTGTATCAAAAGGAAAATGTGGTAGGAACTTGTTGGAACCAGAAGTTGAATTAGCATACATGAACCGATTACTTTTTCCAGACATGGAGGGATTGATGACTGGAAAATCAGCTGGTTTTTTCCAGTGAATTGAAGAATCAGCAATGGAGCAGAAGAGATCTGATCCTCCAGCATCTAATTCTATTAATATCTATGAAAATAGTTAAGCACTCATGATCAATAATTTGTTATTAATTATGAGCCACTTAAATGTCTAAGTAGAAGTAGAATTATAAAGGTTTCATTTACCTTAACTAGATGGGGCAGTGCTTGCTTGTCTGCATTCATAAAGGAGGGGTCCAACCTTGAACTTGGCCAATCATATCCTACAAAGTACAAAGATTTCACATAAAAACCCTCCTTGATTTCATATGACTAGTGCTCATTTTAAATGAAAATCTTAGGCTTCGTTTGAGATGACTTTTTTGTTGCTTCTTAAAATGGAGTTTTATTAAAAAAAATGAAAATTTCTTTTTAAAAATCAATAAAAAAACCGCCCCAAACGAAGCCTTAGTTATTTGGTTACCAAACATTTTCTCGTAGTTGAACCACTGATATGAGCAAACAGAAGCTTGGATTTCAATCTTAGTTTTGCCATTGCCATCCTTTTCCTCATAAGCATTGCCAACATGTGATGTCCATAGTTGAGAAGGAGCTTCAACTGGAATTCTCCAATCCCTCTGAATTGTGTCATTGTAGAATCTTGGAAGGAGATAGATTGGGGTTGTGGGTTGATTGGTATTCAAAGAAATAGTCGATATCATTGGGGCTAAGCCAGACATGGCAGGAAATATCCCTATGTTCCAAACAAGTATACTTTTAATTTCAAATATTAGTTTGATGTCATCTAACTAGATTCATCATAGAAAGGCTCAAGGAATGGAGAAATTGTTCTGTGCGGATATTAGACGCAGCTCTATGTCCGGAGGCGAATTAGGTGCAGCCACGTCAGTGGTACCGAACAGTACCGAGCTGCGGTACCGAGCGAAGAGGCGATGTGGTGCATTCTGGTTGGTCTCCGGACTATGTTCGGCATCCGCACAGAATAATTTTTGATCACGAAGATTTAAACCTGATACATTGAGCTTAGTACGATTGCCCATGATGATGTAATATGAATCAGTGAATGCCCAATCATGAATCAGTAGTTGGTCTGAAATGACAAATTCCTTCTTTTGCATCAACTCAAAATATTTGTCAAATTCTACAACCACAAAACAAACAAACAATTAAATTTGTTGTTATCACTAAAATAGATTAACAATTAAATAATATGTAGAAAGATGAAGCTATATATAGAAGTGGGGGAAATAAATATGCAAGCTTCAACTTGTATGCAGGAGATGTACCATAAAAAGTGAAGTTAGTTTGAGGTAGAAACATGTCTTCAACGTTACAGGAAAGCATAAGAAGTCTGTTCCTTTGAGCATCAATTTTATAATGTGATAGGGTTCTCTTTGGAGGTATTCCTAACAATCCTGCACTCAGAAAAATCTCATAAAAAAATGTATTTCAGAAGTTGAACTGAAAAGCTGCTTTAAGATTGATATATCATCAAAACTTTATCTTGATCAGGCATGAATGTCAAGGCAAAATCAGATTGGTAGCTTCAAAAATTAAATCTAGGACCATATGAACTCCAAATTCAACAAACTTATAGTTGAACTTAGCGTCTCGAAAATACGAACCAAACAACACCAAATTCAACTTAATCCGAGCACAAATGGGTCCGAATCAAAGACACGAAACGCTGTTGGAAGGTTCAAACCACGATTTGGATTAGCGAACGGTTTCCAAACATGACATGCTTATAGTTGAATCGAGCGGCTCGACGAGACAAATGCAATGAGCCCTATCATTAAGACCTTCAAATGTCTGACGAGCGGTCCACGATCAAAGGATTCAATATCGGACGTCTATCCAAACCACTCCCCATTTGCTCTTGATTTTTCTCCTATTTACGGGTCATGTCACTCATAGAAAAATATAAATAGCTCATCATTTCTCTTAAGAGGGGACCTAAGTAAGAAGAAGAGAAGAGAATGATGGAAGAAGCTCCTCCTCAACCACCGCCAGAGTTCTGCCCGACTTTCAAGTGACGCCTGCGTTCCACCCGACTTTCAAGTGATGTCGGAGTTCCGCCCGACTTTCAAGTGACTCCGGAGTTCCGCCTGACTTTGAAGTGACATCAGAGTTCCGCCCAACTTTCAAGTGACGTCGGAGTTCCGCCCAACTTTCAAGTGACACCGGAGTTCCGCCCAACTTTCAAGTGACGTCGAAATTTCGCCCGATCTCCAAGTGATGTCGGAATTTTGTCCGATCTCCAAATGACTCTGTGATTTAGCTCGAATACTCAACATCGTCGAATCTCAAATTCTTGTTTGTAACTGAATTTCAATCCGGGAGTGGATTATTATAATCTGATTGTCCTAAATTTTAAGTACGAGTCAGCCTCTTATACCTCAAGCAAACACTAGTGGAATTTTTTCAACTGGGTGTGGCCCAGTAGTTTTTCCCTTTCCAGGGTTTCCACGTAAAAAACCTGGTGTTTTATTTCTCTTATTTTTGTATGCTTGATATTTGTATAATGCTGAGACAAAAAATTCTAACTCTATCGCCGCGTATATTCTAGACCGCAACAATAATATAGTAAGAAAGTCGTCCCAAGCAAAGACTAAGGCTTTATTTGAGACGGCTTTTTTTATTATTTTTTAAAGCAGTTTTTTGCATAAAGATTTTAATTTTTATACTAAAATGCTACTTTAAGAAGCAATAAAAAAAATGTCCCAAATGAAACCTAAATATCAGACATCAATATACATACTCTCATGTTTCTTCAATAAGAAATATAATCATGGTAGTAAAATTAACAAGGACTTAATGCTTGTTGCACATGAGAGCTACTTTTCCGCAACATAATCAAAATTGAGTTAGACGGCCAACATTTTGAACTTAGGAGTACATAAATAGCGTTATATTTACATAAAAATATCACGACAAATGTGAAATAATTATTAGCCGAAAATGCGAAGCATGAGAGGCACACTGAAAAAGACGTAAAAAGGAGAAGCCAATAAATAAATTCTGATACTTGGCGTGCAAGAGAATGGCAGAACTTCTTTCCAAAAATAGGAGTTGGGCCACCTAAAATCTGTGACTGGATTGCTTGCGAATATTCACAACGGGTGAAAAATATTAAATTTAACATATTAGTTGTGTACTAAGATCTAATTAATGCACAAATAGATGAACGATAGATGTATAGAGTTTAAAAGATACATCAAGATTTTTACGTGAAAAATCCTTAAAATAGAAAAAATCACGGGGCCTAACACGGTTTAAATGAATTCATTAGTATTTGTAGTTGATTACAAATGAGGTCCTTCCTTAGCCGGAAGGTCTTGACTCGATGTACCCAATATATATCATATAGAGTGCATTACATGATGAGAGTTGGAAGAATTAGTGTTGATATGTTCGCTTGGTTGGCATGACCATAGCCGGCGAGCGATGTAGATCGAAAGGATCGTAGTCAGGTAACGGTGGTTGGAAGAATTGTAGTAGAATGGTGGTCCAAAGGACAATAGTCGGGCAACATAAGTCGAAAAGACCATAGTTGGCGGGCGATGGAGATCAGAAAGATCGTTGTTGGGAGACGGCGGTTGGGAAGACCGTAGTCTAGAGATGGTACGTAGTTGAAGTGACTATAGTTGGCAGGTGACCAGTAAATTTGGAGATGATTAAGGGCAAGCTAGGAGTGCTTCCAATGGATGACCGATATTATTTCCTTTGATCATTTATTGAGTATTTGAGTGTCTTATAATATCAAAATTTTATAATGTTGGGCTTGTTGGATCGTCTTATCGAGCCCCTCGATTCAACTATAAACATGATATATTTGGAAATCATTTGATAGTCAAATTTGTAGTTTGACCCTTTCAAATGCACTTATGGTCCTTGATTAAGGCTCAATTGGATTTGGATTGGATTGAATTTGGTGTCATTGGTTTCATCTTTTCAAGATATTTAGTTTGACTATAAGTTTACTAAAATCAAAGTTTGGATGATCTCAAAAAATTTTTTTTTTTAATTTTCTAATTCAACTATACTTCAAGATTCGTCGATAAAGAAGGTTTTTTTTTTGGGGGGGAAAAATTTAAGCTTAGCCCTTATATTGAAGATAAAAAGGTGATTACAAGTAATAAGAAAAACAAAAAGGAAGATGATTTTTTGATTTTATATATAACGCTATGTACGTCAATACTCATTCTTTTCTTTAAGCTATCGAGCCAAAGCTCGGCCTGCAATATAAAATTTTAAAATAAAACTATAAAAAAACTACTCGAAACAGACTAACTGCAATACTGTGTGGACATTAGTGTTCCATTCACACTTCAACAATTAATACTTACCACAAAGCAAAGGCTTAGTGATTCCGGCGGCGAGTTTCAGTACTTCGCCACCTCCACTTTGCCGTCCATCCACCGTCTTGATAATGTCCGTCGGGCCAATGGTTGCCAATGACGTCGGCTCTAATTCATAGGGATGCCCTCCCTCCCAAAGACAGAACAACCGCCCGCCCCACCTCAACACAGTAGTATTTGCCACGTTCTTTAACAATTTCAAACCCGGCGCTCTCATATGTGATTTCAGCAGGGAAAAGAGCCCCGGTTGTCGGAACCGCCACTCTCCTGTTTTTGCCTCCCTCTCCTCCTTCGCCGCCTCTGTCTCCACATACCTCGCCGAATACATCACCACGCCTCCGCCAATGAAGCGAAAGGCGCGGAGGTATCCATGGCCGTCGAGGGGGTTGACGATGGATCCATGGTCATCAGAAATCATGCCAGGGCCATTGAGGTAGTATGTTCCGAGGGGGAAGTCGGCAGGGAGGCTGCCTTCAGTGACGACAAGGGGGAGGGGATCGACGGACTCGGTGGGTTGGGAGGAGAAGAGGCGCTGGTAATCTTCGAAGGCCGTGATGGCAGAATCGGGAAGACTGGGGGAAATTGGGGTGGTGGTGGAGGGGCGGGCTACGCAGCGACCACGAGGTGTGCCGGCGGTTGCGGAAGAGAAGAGCTTTGATGTCGTCGGATATGGACGCGATGTGAAGAGAAGGCTAAGCTGGAAGAAGGGGGCTTGCATCTTCAATTATGCTCCACCGATTTGGATTAAGCACACACAGTTTGCTTATGCCATCGCCTGGTTATATAGTAGTTAGTGACTGCATGGCATGGCGAAGCGGATTCCTTAACTTTCGATAATGTTTATTTATTTCATATAAACTCACTTAAAACCTTTCACAACATCATAAGAACATCTAATAGCAGTCACCATTAATGAAGTCTCTGAATGACAACCTAAGAGAATTACCACTTCTGTGCTCCTCATGATGCCATGAGCTCAATGAAGTTGACGGAGCAAAATTCTTATAGTTGGATTTAGCAAAAAAACCCCACCATGCTTAGATGGATAGGATGGTGAGGGTGATTGGAACCCCCAATTCACGTTCGATTCCTCTCTCAAGCGACGTGACTCTTTAAAGTGGGGAGAAAATAAGTATGCGGTTCCGCACTTACGGGGCTGCATGGTTGCAGCTAGACCCATCGAGAAATAGTTACTCTGCAAAATGCCTCCTCTTTGGAGGTGGCAGCCAGAATAATCCACATCATGCTACATAATTTAAGCCATATTTAAATTATTATACTACTTATTACGTGATTTGGCTCAACCCCTATTTAACCTTTGAATCTTGAATCTCTGTTTCTTCATGTTTAATTTCTGGTTTATTTTCAAAATCTTGCTAAACATGACTTGGGAATTAGAACACTGTAAAAGCTGCTTAAAAAAGATTTTATTTGAACTCCATAAGTGAGTTTCCTCTATTTAAGCTTGACTTTTACTAACATTATATGAACAAATTACTTTAACACAAATTTGGTTGTTTTCTAGCACTTCTAACTTCACCACGATTTCATCAACATCTCCTATTCTCTTTGCATGCAACACCATAAGATAACACTCTTGCTTGAAAACTGCATACTGCTTCAAAAAAGGGTAACAAGCTTCAAGGCCATCAGTCCGGATGGACTGCATTAAAAAAGGGTGAAAGGTTGGGTGGGTATGGATGGGTACGACATCCCTATAGTCAGTATGAATGTGCATGGGTGGGCCAAACTCACCCATGCAGAGCGTGGATACCCAACCACAAACCCATGTGGGGCTTTGCAACTTTCTCATTGCTTTCTAAATTACTTTCCAAAGCAACTTTTTAGCGCAAATGTTTTTAATTCAAGAAAATTTTTAATTAAAAAATTATTTTAGAAAGCATTAAGAAAACTGTTCCAAACGAAATCTTAGTAGTATTAACAAGAATTTAATGCATTTGTAGTACATGGAAACTACTTACCAACAACATAAGCAAAATGAGCGAGGCGGCCAACTTTTTGAACTTTAGAGTATATAAATAGTGATGAATATGAGATAATTAGCCATTAATGAAGATAAATGTTTAGTGCAACAGTTGGTATTAATTAACATAAAAATGTGAAGATTGAGGCGCACACTGAATAAGATAGGAAAAAATTATTATGTGCAGGTCCGGATTTGTCCGGAGACCAATAAAAATGCACCACATCACCTCCAAAAATATACCGCGCTCGGTACCGAGCGCTCGGTATTGAGCACGAAAACGGACAGTTCTCCCGTCCGGTGTCCCATAATAATCTCCCATAAGCTAGACGGAAAGGAGAAGCCTATAAACAAATCCTTTGGTACTTGGCGTGGAAGAGAATAGCAGAACTTCATTCCAAAAAAGGCGTTGGGCCACATGAAGCGGTTGCTTGCAAGTTACTATTTTAGAGCTAGATTCCAGATTTCTGAAGTCCAGCTACTAATTTAGTTAGGAATATCAGAATCCAACCTTGCTAAGTTTCACAAATAAATACTTCAAGTGTGGAATGTTTTTCTTCTATTTTTTTTTTTTTATCAGATTTGCCATGTTAGCTTCAGTCCATAGTAATAGCTAAATGGATATAATATATAATCTCTATTAGAAACCTTTTGTATCATGTAATACTAAAAAAAAGATGAGTCTTTAATGATAATGATAATTAAATAATAATGCGCCACTTAAATATGAGTTTGGATGAGTTTAAAACTCTTAAATTTATGTTAAAATTAGAGCTGATACATAATATTATGAACTGTATTAGTGTTAGTATAAAGAAACAATCATAACATTAAAAAAATATATAAAAATATCCCAATAAAATATGAGTTAGGATTGTTGGATGACTATGGCACCTCAAAAAAAGAGGTGAATTGAGTTTTAATAATTTTTATTAAAAGAAAATAATTAAACTAATTTTGATTCTTTTTGGCAATGAATTAAATAATCACATAATTTTATTTTAAGAAAATGATAAAGAAAATTGATGCAATACGGTGAAAACTAAAAGAACATCAATTTAATATTTAGAGAAAGAAAATAAT